GAGGTTGCTCGAGGGGAGGGGCTTGGTCACCGATGTGCCACGCCCCCTTTCATAGACGACACTATGGGGCGTGGCCACAGACCGGGGTGATGGCCACGCCCCTCCGGGAGCGCGGGCTGCAGTGGGGGGCGTGGTCAAAGGGCGCGCCCCTCCCCTGTGGGGGCTAAGGCCACGCCCCTCAGCACGAGACTCCGCCCCCTCGGCGGGGACGCGGGAGGGTGGGCGAGCTGCGGGGGAGGAGGCGGGGCCACCCCCGAGGCTCCGCCCCCGTGGCGCGCGCGGCGGCGCTGTCCAATGGGCGCTGAGCGAGGGGGCGTGTCCCGCCTCTGACCCCGCCCCCTGTGCCGCCGCCTTTGTCCCCGCTCGGCCCCGGCCCCGCTCCCGGGGCCGCTCCCGCCGCCACCCCCGGCCCGGCCCCCGCCATGGCCCCCCCGACCCGCTGAGCACGGTGAGTCACGGCCGAGCGGGCCGGGCCCGCTGGGGCGGTGGCCAACGCTCTGACCTCACTTCCGCATCCGCCCCCGGCGCGGCCCGGCCCCGCGGCCCCGGCGAGGGAGGGGCGGCGGAGCGGGAGCCGCCGCCGGACAAAGGTGATGGGGCCGCCGGGGCCGAGCGGGGCCCACCGGGCCGGGCCGGCCCTGAGGGGGCACGGGGAGGGGCGGCCGAGCCGGGGCCGAGCGGGGGGTGCCGGGATCGTAGCGGGGAACATCGGGCCTTGCCGCGGCGTTCCGGGGGCTGTGGGGATGGAGCGGGGCCTTGCCCGGGGAGTTCGGGGCTTTGGGGGGGGGGGATGGCGGCTCTGCGGGGCTTGCTCGGGCTTTGTTGGGGCCCTGCCGGGGTGTGCTGGGGCCTTACTGGGGGAGATTGGGGATTTACTGGGGGAGATTGGGGATTTACTGGGAGAGATTGGGGGTTTAGTGGGGGAGGTCGGGGATTTACTGGGGCCTTGCTGGGAGATATTGGGGTTTTCCTGGGAGAGATCGAGCCTGGCTGGGGCCTCACCAAGGCAGACCCAGTACCTCCCTGAACCTTTCCCGGCCCTTGCCGGGGTGTCCGGGCTATTCCGGGGGTCCCTTTCCCCCTCTCCCCCCTCCCTGGGAGCGGCGCAGCTGCCGCCCGTGCCAGCTGTATGGAAATCACGGCCCCGCGTCACCGTCACCTGACCCCGCTCCTTGTGTCTGTGTGTCCCCCCTCCTCCTCCCGGGGTGTCCCCAGAGCCCCCCGAGCGCCTCCATGCGCAGCCCCGCATTCCCGGGATGACCTCGGGCTCCGGCAGCGCTGCCGCCACGGTCGCCGGCGCCGCCCCCCACAATGGTGAGAACAAACCACCCCAGGCCATCGTGAAACCCCAGATCCTCACCCACGTCATCGAGGGCTTCGTCATCCAGGAGGGCGCCGAGCCCTTCCCGGTAACGTATCCCGGGGGCTGCGGGGGTGGGAAAAGGGGATCGTGGGTTGGGTGAATCGGGAATGGGGCACTTGGAGTGGCTTGAACCCCCCCAGATCCTCACCCACATCGTCAAGGGTTTCTTCATACAGGAAGAGCTGAGCTGTTCCTGGTGATGTATCCCACTTTCCAGACCTGTATTCCAGGGATTGGGGTGCTGGAGGGGTTGGCAATGAGGAACCCCAAGCAATCTTGAACCCCCAAATCCTCCCCTGTGTTATTGAGGGGTTGGTCGTCCAGGAGAGGGCTGAGCTGTTCCTGGTAGGGAATCCCACAATCCAGACTCGTGTTCCAGGGGTTGGGAATGGGGCACCCAAATTGTCTTGAACCCCCAAATCCTCCCCTGTGTTATCGAGGGGTTCACCATCCAGGAAGGGGCTGAGCTGTTCCTGGTGATGTATCCCACTTTCCAGATCTGTATTCCAGACAATGGGGGGGGGCTAGGAATGAGCTCCTGGATTTGGAGAGTTGGGAATGGGACCCCCAAACCATCTTGACCCCACAGATCCTCACCCAGGAAAGGGCTGAGCTGTTCCCTGTGATGTATCCCCACACTCCATGCTCTTATCCCTTGACTTGGAGGTTTGGGAAGGGGCTCCTGGATTGGGGGGGTTGGGAATGGGGCACCCAAAAGACCTTCTGGATCTGGAGGGGTAACCCCAAATCCTCCCCCGTGTTATTGAGGGGTTCATCTCCCAGGAAGGAGCTGAGTCATTCCCTGTAATGTATCCCTGTATCCATACCCTTATTCCTGGATTTGGGGGGGTTGGGAATGAGGCATAAAGGAAAGGGCAGAAGCATTCCAGGTAACGTATCCCATTTCCATGTCCTTCCTCCTGAGTTTGAGGGTTTGGGTGCCCCATTCCCAGACAACTGGGAACCCCCAAATCCTCTCACACGTTACTGAGCTCTTCATTGTCCAGGAAGGGGCTGAACCATTCCCAGGAATGTCTCCCCCTCTACCTGTCCTTCTTCCTGGATTTGGGGAATTGGGAAGTGGGTTCCTGGATTTAGGGGGTTGGGAATGGAGCACCCAGACAATTGTTAGACCCCAAATCCTCACCCACTTTATCATCACCCGGGAGGGGGCTGAGCCATCCCAGTGCAACATTTCTTGTCCTCATTCCTGGATTAGGGAAGTTGGGAAGTTCCTCCCAGCTCTGTGGATGCAGGAGTGGGGGGGTCTCCCAAATTTAGGGGTCTGAAAATGGAGCACCCAGACAGTTATGACCCCCCCCAAATCTACATGCACATTATCATCAGTGGGGAGGGGGCTGAGCCCTCCCTGTCCCACATTCCTTGTCTTCATTTCTGGATTAGGGAAGTTGGGCAGTTCCTCCCAGCTCTGTGGATGCAGGGTGGAGGAGTCTCCCAAATTTAGGGAATTGGGAATGGGGCACCCAGACAGTTGTGACCCCCAAATCCTCACCCACCTTATCGAGCTCTTTGTCACCTGGGAAGGGGCTGAGCCATCCCCGGCACCCTCATCCCCTGCCCTCATTCCTGGATTCGGGAAGTTGGGCAGTTCCTCCCGGCTCCGTGGCCTCGTGGGGGGGCTCTCCCGGGTGTGGGGATGCAGGGGCAGCCCCCCCACGCGTGCTGTGCCGTGGCAGGTGGGGCGTTCCTCGCTGCTGGTGGGGGCCCTGCACAAACAGTATGCGCAGGAGCTGCTCCCGGACAAGCTGCCACCGCAGGACAACACCACCACCACCGACTCGGACATGGAGGAGCCCTACCTGCAAGGTAGCGCCCAAATCCCCGCCAGAACACCCCCAAAACCCCCTCCCCGGGGAGACAGGGGGGCTGAGCTGGCTGGTTTCTCTCTCTGGGTGTCCCCCCACGCCCCCCAGAATCCAAAGAGGAGGGGAACCCCCCCAAGCTGAAGTGTGAGCTCTGCGGCCGCGTCGACTTCGCCTACAAGTTCAAGCGCTCCAAGCGCTTCTGCTCCATGGCCTGTGCCAAGAGGTAACCCCAGCACCCACCTGAGGAGTGGGGAGACCCACAGATCCATCTAGGGGAGGATGGGAAAACCCTAAAATCCGTCTGGTGGAGCGAGGGTAATCCCGAAACGCGCCTGGGGGATGGAGGGAACCCCAAAGTCCATCTGGGGGTGGGGGTAACCCCAAAACCCACCTGCCCCTCCCACACCCTCAGTGGAGTAGAGGGAACCCCAAAACTCCATCCAGTGGGATAGAGGGACCCCTAAAACCCACCCGACCCCCTTGGCAGGATGGGGATAACCCCAAAATCCACTTAGCAGTGTGAGGATAACACCCAAAATCCACCTGACCTCCACCCCGTGAGGGTAGAGGAATCCCCAAAAGCCACCTGATGGGGTGGCAATAGACCCGAAATTCACTCAGCAGGGTGGAGATAACTCCAAAATCCACTTGGTAGGGTGGGGGTAACCCCCAAACCCCCCCTTCCCGTGGGGTGGCTCCCCCCGAGCCCCCCCCCCCCCCCCCCCGCAGGTACAACGTGGGCTGCACCAAGAGGGTGGGTTTGTTCCATCCCGACCGCACCAAACTGCAGAAACCGGGGGGGCCCCCCCACGGGCGGCGCCGCAGCTGCAAAGGAACCCTGCCCCCCCTGGGCAAGGACAGCAAGAAACAGGTGAGGGGGCACCAAGGCCAAGGTTTGTCACTGAATTCCAGGGACACGGGCTGGGCACTGAGGCTGCAGCTGGGACGTGGGGTGGGTGCTGAGGCCAAGATTGGTCCCTGAATTTTGGGGACACAGGCTGGGTGCTGGGGCCGGTGGTTATCCCAAATTTTGGGGATGGGTTGGGCACCAGGGCTGGGGTTTGTCATTGAATATTGGGGAGGGGGATGAGCACCAAGGCTGAGATTGTTCCCATTTGGGGGGACACGGGGTGGAATCTGAGGCTGGAGTTTGTCCCTGAATTTTGGGGGCAGGGATGGGCACCGAGGGTGAGGTTTGTCCCCATTTTTGGGGCACCGGGGCTGGGGTTTGTCCCCATTTTTGGGGCACCAGGGATGGGGTTTGTCCCCATTTTTGGGGCACCAGGGCCGAGGTTTGTCCCCATTTTTGGGCGCTGGTGCCGGCGCTGTCCCCACAGCCCCCAGGCCGTGTCCCAGCGGCGTCACCGTCGTTGTCACCACAGCTCAACCACAGCCAGGAGGATTCGAGCCGCTGCTCCGACAACTCGAGCTACGAGGAGCCGCTGTCGCCCATCTCCGCCAGCTCCTCCACGTCCCGGCGCCGGCAGGGGGAGCGGGACCTGGAGCTGCGGGACATGGAATTGCCCGACGTGCACGGCCGGGACCTGCCCGGGCTCGGCCACCGCTTCCTGCCCAGCGAGCCCAGCAAGTGGAACGTGGAGGACGTGTACGAGTTCATCCGCTCCCTGCCCGGTGAGGAACGGGCACAGCCCGGGAATGGGGGAGGATGGACCGGGGACAGCCCCGGGAATGGGAGTGGGGATGGGGTTTGCTCAGGGAGAACCTCCCGAGTGGAGTTTGGGGGAACTGCTCCAAGAGAACCCCAGGAATGTGGGGATTGCTCATGGAGAGCTCTGTAAGTATTTTGGGAAGGGGGATTTACTTATGGGAGGAAATCCATGAAAATCCATAAAAAAAATACATAAATGTGTTTTTTTGGGGGGGGGGATTTACACATGGATAACTCCATAAAAAATGTATTGGAGGGGATTTACACGTGGGTAACTCCATAAACATATTTTTGGGGGTATTTACACACAGATAACGCCATCCATAATTGTTGGGGGGGATTTATTCCCTGATAATCCCATACTTGTATTTTGGGGGGGGGATTTACTCCCTGATAACCCTATAAATATATTTTGGGGGGGGATTTACACACTGCTAACCCCATACATACATACATTTGGGGGGGATTTACTCAGAGATAACCCCATAAATAAATTCCTGAGGGGGAATCGCTCCCTGCCAGCCCCACCCATCCATCTTTTGGGGGGTGGGAGCAATCCTTCCTGGGGGGTGAGGGTCTCCCAGCTGAGGCCCTGGCGGCATTCCCGACCTTTGCAGGCTGCCAGGAGATCGCGGAGGAGTTCCGGGCGCAGGAGATCGACGGGCAGGCGCTGCTGCTGCTCAAGGAGGACCATCTGATGAGCACCATGAACATCAAGCTGGGCCCCGCCCTCAAGATCTACGCCCGCATCAACATGCTCAAGGACTCCTGAACTGGGGGGAGGGGAGACACCCCACAAAACACCACCACCCCCCCACAGGACCCCCCCAAAACACCCCCCTGGCCCCGGGGAAGGGGTGGGGGGTGGTGGGGGAGACCCTTGTGAGCACAACCCGAGCCCGGGGAGCCCCCCGGGGGTGTAAATAGCCCGTAGCTCTTAGAGCCCCCCACCCCTCACAGTCTGGGGGGTCACCCCCTCTTCTCCGGCAGGGAGGGGGGGTCCCCACGTCCCCCCCGTGCCCCCCACACCCCTCCCCCAGTCGGCAGGGCCAAGCAGGATGGTTGCCTTAATGTGAGCCCCCCTCCCCCAGCTGGGATTTTGGGGGTCCCTGGAGTGGGGGGGTGGGAAGGGGTGGGGTTCACACACACCCCCCCCACGCTGGGCTGGTTTGGGGGCACCTCAGTACAGGATGGTGGGAAGGGGGGCCCCCCCCCGGGCAGGTAAGGACCCCCCCCCCCCCCCCCCCCCCCCCCCCCCCCCCCCCCCCCCCCCCCCCCCCTCACGGCCACCGCGGCCTTTTTAAGAAAAGAAAAGGAAAAAAAAAGGAAAAAAAAAAACAAACCGGCCCCTCCCCCCCCTCCCGGGCTGGATTTTGGGTTGTTTTTAATAAACACGGAAAAAAACAGAGAAAAATGGACCCCCCCTTTTTGTGCCTTCAATCCCCCCGATTCCCTGTGAGGCGGCACCGCAGGGGTGTCCCCAAGTGCCACCTCAGGGCTGTCCCCGAGTCACTGTGGGGGTGGGCACAGGGCTGGTGTCACATCCCCTGTGACCCCAAAATCCCAGCGCTTGGGGGTCACAGGGGACCCCAAAGGAGGGGAGGGGGACAGGAGGGGACACCCCCTGGGGTGGGATGGCCTGGTGGGGGGGTGACACATCCCTGGAGCTGATGCCCAGGGTGGGGTGTCCCTGGGGAGGTGACCCTGCATGTGGCACCTGTGCTCAGGTGTCCACAGAGCTGGTGGCCCTGGTGGTGACACATCCTTGAAACTGGTGGCCACGGCTGTGAGGTGTCCCCAGAGTTTGTGGCCATGGTGAAGTGTCCCCACAGTGGTGGCCACACTGGGTTGTCCCCAGAGCTGATGTCCCCAAAAGTGGCTCACTGGGGTGACTCACCCCCCTCTCCCCAGGACCAGGACCTGCCCCCTTCACCTCAACACACCAGTGACCCCCAGGTGTGTGGCACTGCCACCCCATCCCTGGGGACACTTTGGGGACAGCTCCACCCTCCCCTGCTGCCACCCCACAGGGACTTCCCAGGCTTTGACCCCAAACGTCCTCAAAGTGCTGCCCCCCAATCCTTCCCCTCCCCCCAGCCCCCCCACATTCATTAATTCCCATTTTGTTCTTTTTTTATTTCTCTTTTATTCTCTTTTTTTGGAAAGGGGTTGGGGGGGTTTCCCTCCTTTTCCACACCACGAGGCTGTGCCCCCCCCAGCTTCTCCAGGAACCACAATGCAGGATTTTGGGGGGGGGGGGGAAGGGGTGGGGAGGGGAGAACAGAGTGGGGGGGGGGCAACTGTTTTTATCCATTTTCTCCTCTTTTCTCTCTTTTTTTAACCTTTTTTTCCCCTTTTTTTAATAAGGTACCAACTAGATCTAGGGGGGGCCTGGCCTGGCTGGGCAGCAAGGAAAATAAAAAAGCCCCAAAATTTGGGGGTTGGTTGG